TTCACCTTAATCACACGAAGGTTAGCTAGTCCCTTTCTAGTTCATTTCCCTAGAACAATCCTTTTAAAATACTACTTACACTATATATGGACACAAGTCATTAAAATGAACAAAATACACCTAAAAGGTTCAATTACTAAATTTTGTTATTTCATATCATTCCTCATGAAAAATTATGAACGCAGAAGAAAACCGTGCATAAATCTGAGTTCGTATGCAAAAATTATGAGGAAAACAATATTTTCCAAACATGAGGTTCCACAGGGGGCGTGTGGAATTTCACACGGGTCATATGGAATGGTCTATATGCACAAAAAATGTATTTTTTTTCATAATAACATCCTAATTTGCATAGATCTTGAAGACCCCTTTCCAATTCACTTTACACCACTTATTTAGTTATCACACATAATTAGGAAGTGTTTTATCATCTTAAAACCCTCCACTTAATCCATTAAGTGCTCATTGAACTCATTAAGATTAAGATGATCTTCAAGTGTTTAAAAGATGGGTAAATCAGTCCATTTTGCACTTGAACATTCCAAAGTCCACAAAACTTGTTCCCAACTTATTGAATACCCATATGAAATTTATCAAGTGCATAAAACCATAACTAATCTCATTTTAAATACCTAATTTAACTATGTAATCCTTAATTCCATTCCATGTTACCAAATTGCCCTTATGGCAAATAACTCCATTTATCAATCTAGGAATCAAGAAACACCTTATGTTTTGAATTCAAATAATTCCAAGAATATACATTCATGATTATGAACTTCCTTTACTCATCAAATGCTCAACTACAAGAGATTTCATTGTTTTATTTATATTATCTCCATATCCATTTCAATCCAAGCTGATACTTGATTCTACCATCATGGATGAATTTGAGCATTCCAATTGGATCTTTTCCTTTCAAATATCATCTAGGTTATAGAATCCAATCCACTTTCATCATAAATTGCAATATCCCCAATTTAGGTTTTCTAGGGTTAATGGAGGTTTTCACCCAAATATTCAAATCCATCAATGAGATGAGTGGATTGAGATTGGGATTATCAAAACTACTCAATGGAGGTTGGAAAACCAAAAACCAATCATTATTTACTACAAATTTTGACAATGTATTTTCTCCAAACCGTGAACTCTAAAATTATGGGTAAAAGAGAAGAGACTATACCTTCCAGACTTTTGATTCCTCCCTTCTTTG